ATCTGGCTCCAATGATAGTGTATGTTAATTCAAACAGGTGATAGTCATGGCCTACAGACATGTGAAGAGCTGGAGCTGTGGCAGATGTGGCTTTCCTCTGCTATATATGTGTGATTTTCCTAGTTAGCCTAAACTCAGTCAAACCGCCCTACTTTATTTTAAACCTAGGTGGTTCTGTACATACTGTAATATGGTGCGCTGGTTGTTTGGGGATGTTTGAGTTTTGGGGACATTGTATTATTCCAACTTCTAGGAGCTGACTGACTAAAACTGCTTTGACTCTCTTCCTATCTCAGTACAATCTTAACAGCATATTCAATTGCAAAGGAGCATAAAGCTTTCTGAATCTGTTTAATGAGCCAGCAGACGTGGATTACTGTAGCAGGTGGAGTAAAGTGGAGAAGCCTACATTCCTCCTGAAGCTTGGTCATGTTGTGACAGCACCCTGCACTGAGGGGAAGGTAGTGGGGCTGGGAATCTATAGAAGACGTGCTTCTACCCTTCTGGTGATGCACTAATAACAAGGCTGCTGAACAAGAACACAAGACAGACAAACACAGATATCTGTCTCTTGTGTGTTTGCTCATTACAGCAAGCAAACACAAAGCTGTCATCAGTCGCAGAGTCAGTAGATAAGGGCAGATCTGGTGCAGCTGTTTTCTCTAACAATGTGGCATTTGTGGAGTGTGCTGGTGCATGGGAGGGAAGGTCTACATCTATCATCTTACTAATCTATGAAAATGCCCATTGTCTATTATTTTACAGAGTATCCTGGTGACTGGAAGGTGAGAAAAGATAACCAGGACTAAGCCTCCTCTAAACAGTCAGATCATGCAAAATGCCTGCCAACACTGTTATAAAATTACATATGGGACAAGAGAGAAGAGTGGGAAAACAAAACAGAATGAGCTTAAGAAAACAAGCCTCGTAATTACTATAGCTAGTTTTGCATCATTTTAGCTTTTTTATTTTTACAAAAATCTCTCTAAAGTGACTTTACACATCAGTTTTGAAGCACGCACAATTCAAAATGATGGTTCTCCCACACTGAAATGCATTGTCCCAAAGTCAGAGGCAACGAGATATGATACAACTGCCGTTTATACCAATATTGACATCCCCCTTGATCAGTACAAAATAGATATTAGCTGCTGTGAAAATGTGAGGATTCTTAGCAAGTACATATACTGTGTCTAACATGGATTAATTTAACTAGTTTAAGATACTTTCTCTACAATTAAAACTGCACAACTTAATTACTTTGTGGTGCATTAAAAGAAATAAAGGTATTATTTAACTTGAATGAAAATGAACTTTTAAAACTGTTGTTCTGATCATACAGGAGATCTACCTCTCCTCCTTGAGAGGAATAACAAGTGATTAAAATTTTTGGTGCCTTGTTTTTCTCCATGGTTAATAGTATATCAGAACTAGTGGTTAGAGGCACCATTGAGTGTTTCAAAAACTATGTGGGCACGTCCAGTCACTTTGAACATGTTTGTCACTGGTAGTAAGCTTTAAGTATATGTCAGGACATGGACTGTAGAGCGGGGCCTTGTCCTTTCCACTGTGTGCTGAACTTACATCTGATTTTGTATTTAACCCCAAACAAACTCAGACAGTGCTGATAATGACTGATTATCTGCACGTCATATGAGCAAATATGCAGCCAGACTTAATCCAGTCTGCCTGGCACATAGGGGCTAAAATCGTGTTTGAAGATACAATAGAGAAGGCTACATCGAATCACACGCCTAAAGAGTGCATCAGAAAAGCACATGCGTGCAGTTTAACAAAAAGATTAAGTCTGTAATCAGCTGTACCATGTCCTGAGTTCATGGTTAACATTTAGCTGATCATTTATTGTTACCTGTACAAGTGAGGACTGATCGGAAAATCGAGTCAAGTTATAATAAATGAATTCATGAGTGGAAAGACTGATGCAATTAAATACTAATAAATAAGGTTACTTTGGCTGGTAATGGGTCTTTGCTGTTTTGATCTGTAGTTCATATTGTGTTTTTTTTAAATACATTTTCAAGTGTCCTGCCATCTTAGTAATGTCGGACATTATGCTACGTAACTGATGCAGTTGTCTACAGAAGGAGTCGAGCTAACACACAGTGGGATGACCTTAAGAAAAGTCCCTTCAGACAGCAAGACACCATTAGTCATGATTACATTTTTCTAGCTGCCATGCAAAGTTTATGGTCATTGATGACATATTTTCTTGATTGCTATACAAATACAGAATGTTCGAAATATCCAATACTGCCACAAGCTGGTTGGAAGCTATAGGATTCAACCCAAAGGGATTTAATTAACTGCAGATCATTGATCACAACTACTTAAAGATTATGTCTGAGATGTTATGTCTTCACAATGTTTGGACTGTAGTGAAGTTTTATTGACCTGTACATTTCAGTCTCCCTCATTGACAGTTATGATGGCGTGTGTTGCTGTGTACACAACAGACATTGGCCTGGTACAAAATGTCACCACCGCTGTCTCTACCCACTAATTATGCCCTGCCAGTGATGAAATCGTTTGTTTATCCATCATAGAGACAAAGATAAGTGTGGTGGGGAATTTCTATTGAATAAAGAGCAAAAGTCAACACCAGTCTTTCTGAGATTTAATTTGACATACACCTCTGTGGCAAAAGATTAGACAGAGATAGAGTTTCTGTCCTAGTTCTACTTAATGAATGCTCAGTGTTTTCTCAATGACTCCTCTGCTGTGCTGCATAACACTGCACTTTTGGCTCCCCTTGGCCTCACTTCGTCAGGGGGCAAGAGAATCCATTCACAAATAGTTTATTATAGTAAGCACTTCACGCATTTGGCAACAAATTAATACTGTAGATTAAGTCATCATGTATTTATTCATGAATATGTACTACGCTTACAGAAGAGAAAAGGAAAAGGTCAATAGCAGTATTGGCTTGGTTTCAGCAAAGACTGTTCACTCAGAGTTGCTAACAACTTCCTCTTGTGTCCTGCTCAGGTTAAGTCCCTGGTCATTACTGGTTCACTATGTAGCTAGTAAACACCCTTGACTCCATATGCTTTTGATATTCTGTCTCTCACCCACCCTGGGCCTACGCCTCTGGTCACCCTGTCCTCAGAAAGAAGGCGTAAACTACTTCCCTCAGTCTATCTGCTTTAATCTGCTTTAATGACCTTCTCTTGGACATTCCCACACAGACAAGATTATGGTATTGTGCCAAAGGGCACAGAGAAAGGCACTGTGGGAGTTTACCTACTTGTGTTTTGAATAACAGCTTGTATAGAACAAATTAAGCATGAATGTTATGTGGTATACATGAAGCAAGTGAACGGAAAACCACATTGTGAGATGTGTGTATATATCTAGTGTGTAAAATGGACATTTTGGTTTGATACTTTTATATGTGCTCGACTTGACAGATGTGAAATGATACATATTTTGAAAAGTCAAATTATAGAAGAATATTACTTGATATTTAACTGACAACCTATAGACCTGCAATAGTTTATTGTAATGCAGCAATCAGACAATTCATTGTCTTATAGTTATCAGGAATTCTTCCAAAAAAACCTAAAAACTAGGGTTTAAGAATCAATTTCTCAACCATCGGCACCTCCCAAACTGTCTGTTCCTTGCCGAGATTACAAAGTAGATCCTAGGCACTCATTAAAGGCATACTTGTGCACCTTGAATACAGTGCAGAGAAAACAATAAAAACATCAGACAGTCAATAGCAGCTTCTAAGCTTTGTGGTGTATAGTTATCATTTTTATTACCTATGAGAGGTTTGATCAGAGAGTCACCTATGGAAATATTTATCAATTAATACTCCTCGTGTGCAGTGTAAAAAAGCTGTTAGAGAAGTTAGGGAAGTTGTTTGTTTTGGTATTTGTAAGTTGTCATGTTTCCAACTCCACTATCAGTAAATGTCTAGATGTGTACAAAAGGACAGAATCCCAAATTAAGACATTTCTTTTGTGGGTCAGAAGGGCATCTCAAGGAACCTTCAATTAGGATGAGCAATAGAAAAGGGATAAGACAATTTTAGATTATTTAAGCCTGTATAAGTTTTTGTATTACATCTTCAAAATCAATATGTGCATCAATACTAGGAAGTAAGCGACAGTTTAGGAATAATTATATAATATTTAATAGCTACAGGATGTTGTACTGTACCTGCCATTGTTTGGCCAAATTATTGAGTAAAAATAATGTTTCACCCATCTGAACTAGTGTTTTTGAAGCAAATTGTACTTACTTGATCCTTGCTGTTCTGTTTTGTTTTTTTTAGGGTTGAATGCACTTATTGTAAGTCACTTTGGATAAAAGGGTCAGCTAAATGATCTGTTAAGTAATGTTATCAACTTTTGAGCAGAGCTGTAGCTGCCATCCCTGCTTATCGTTAGACCAATGAATTTATGATATTCAAATAAACAGTGAGCAAGTAATGAGTGTGCAGAGACAAGTGAGCAACATGGCAAATAAAGATGCACACATGCTTTGACATTTATCTCCCTTTAATAAGGCAACCGCCCTTCCTTTGCTTGTAACTTTGAAAGTAGGGCTGTGGTAAAAACTGCTGCCTTGTCACATGTGGTGTAACTTATTTTTACACTTTTAACGGTTGAGGTCACCAGTATAGAAACGCATTGTGTTTTTTGCCCAACTCTCACAGGTTTGTTCTTACTGAGAGTTCATGCCTCCCTGTGCCATCTGCAGTGGCAACTGATAACAGGGGATGATAGGGAAGAGGAGGACTGGCCAAGGCCAATCCCATGAGAAAGGAGACATAAAGAGGCAGCTCTCAGCCATAACATCTGGACACAGGAAGGGTGTGAAATGTCAACAAGATAGATAATTGTCCTGAAGCCTCCGAGACTGCACTTTCTTGTTGCCCTCCCAAGTAGGAAACTGTCAATATTAGTTAAACTGAACAAACAAAGCATCATGCATGTGCACATGCATGTGAGTGCTTGGGTGTGTGTATGTGTGTGTGTGTGTGTACATATGGCAAACCCTGACCGAGGTAATGTGATTCTCTCTGGCTTGCAGCTGGAGGCCACTAAAGTCAGAGCTGTTGGAAATATCAATTTAGATATACAATTTCAGGAATTGAAACTTGACCCACAATGTGACCCTGAATGAAAATGTAGATTGATAATACTATAATAAGACACAACAGAGTGAAACTCACTATATGCTGTTTTGTAAAAAAAATAAATAAAAATACTGACTGTGTCAAAGTCCTGTCTGTCTGAATAAAGCCACACTGCTAAAGCCTGATGGGTGAAAGTCCACAGCAGCGACTCAGAGGAGCCAGGTAAATGGGACAGTGACCCTTTGAACAGGGACCCTGCACCCTGCACCCACACCAAACTCACACTCTATTTATCTTAGGGCAACATCACAGATACTGTATCATGCCCTTATCTTGGCACAGAGATCAATAGCTGGAGCTATAGGCCTAAGGCATTTGTCTGTTAGATATTACATGCAACAGACACTGTAAGAGTGGATCATATAATTTACCTTGTGTGATTTGTACTATAAGAAAATACTAGGGTGGTAATTTAATGTGTCAAAGAATAATGTTGGGATGGGCTGGAAAAAAATCTATTAAAAAACACTAACTCTCCCTCTTTTATTACAAATGGTTCCATGTCAAAAACATTTTTTTTTTACCTCTACCTTAAACTTAGCTGCAGCCCAGTCTTTCATTAATCCTGTCTCCCTTGGCCAGAGTTATTTAGTTACTCAGTTCATTGTTTCCTGGCTAGATATCACTTACCAGAGGGTCAGACAATGCTAAATGTTTCGAGTGCTGTGTTAGTGTTAGACTTGTATAGGACCTGATAAATCTAAATTAACTAAGAATACTATATAGCTGAAATCATTTTTTCACCAAACAGACAAATTGGGAATCAATGATTGTATATAAGTTGACAAATATTTCAAGGCCCCACATTTCTATTCACGAGAACAACATTTTTATTAGGATCTGCACCAAATTGCACACATCAGTCCCCCTAAACAGGCCTGTTTTTTTCCATCAAGATCCATATATTATTCTGAGAAATCAAAGAAAATGTTAACCAAAGTGAAAAAGAAAATCATGGATCCGCCCCCTGATCTAAAGCCACACTAAAATGGGTTAATGGGTTCATTTCTGACCCATACCACATCATTTAAAGTTTTGTGGTAATTGTTCTACTAGTTTTTGCATAATCCTGTTAACAAAGATGAAAACCTAACCTCCTTGGTGGATGTAATGCAAACACACATGAATCTTTTCATATTCATACGAAAGTCAAGTCAAATCAGGATCACACACGGTAAACAGTTAAGAACGGAATCTGGGATGACATCAAACGGCTTCAAGGAACCTGAGTCACATGGCCTCCTCTTCACCATATAGAAAATATGTTGTGAATACTTCCATTTGTGTTAAACTGTTGTATAATGACGCCATACATGTCAGATCTTCTAATTCATCGTTTAACAGCCATCATGATTTAACACAGTGAGGCAGGGAGTGACATAAAGACTGAGCCTCGAGGGTAGTCAAACTGGAAATACAACTGGGTGTTGCCAAAATGTGTTTGTGAGTCTGAGTATGTGAACGTGTGAGCATATTTAAAGCAAACTTCATCCAGCATAACCATGCACAGAGGTAACCAACAAAAAACATAAAGTAAAGTTTAGACATACTAATCCTAATTCCCCTCTCTACATATATATTCATAAACAGCTCCATTTCACAATATTCTTAGGGAAGTGTGAATAAATCATGTCAGCACAAATTTGGCAGTTGATCACTGACCCCCAAAATTACACTGCGAGTTGAAGGTTTTCCTGCCAGTCAAGTTGAAAGAGACGCGTAAGTGTGTGCCCTTTGTTTCTCTGTACTTCACGGTTGACTCTGACAATGGTGTATATCTTGTACTTTCTTTGAGGTAAAGGATGCCATTTTTTTTTCTCCAGTCAAGAGCACCGGTACTGTCAGTGTGGAGTTGTAGATATACAGTAATTTTATTTAGACATATGTAAATAAATATGCTAACATGCATGTCACATCAGGAGAACAAAGTCTTCCTCAATGGCCATGAAGACATTGTTTAATATGGGAGGTGAAATATTGTTGGTTCACTACAAGAATGTCAAACATGCAGAGAGAGTAGACTTGCCCCTCAAGTAAACTCAAAGACAGCTCTCCAGACAGCAACCAGGGAGGGACAGGAAACTAGCAGAACCCTCATCTTCTTGCACACCCACTGACTGACATACACTTTTGCACATACACATTCTCCTACTGAAGGTTCTTTAGCACATGGCCTGTGAGTATGTTTTAAAGCTCACAGGAACAAGCCACAGAATAATGCAAGAATTCTTACAAGGTAAAAATGGTAATCAGAAAATAGGTATTTATTACAAGCATTTCCAGATGTTAGTTAAGTACTTTAGATTATCACACTCAGTGATGTTGTTGTATCGCTGACCGTGATAGAACTTTCACATTATTTCCAAAATCCTACGACCAGTGGCCTGTGTGATTTCTATGTGCAAGACATCAGAGACCTTACAGGCTTTGGTCAGAGACAGATTCATGTATCGTAATAAGATAAGAAAGGACAGGTGGCCCAGTGATCAGTGGCCATACTGCTTGCCTGCTTTAGAGCTGAGCTGAAGCCTAATGTGTATATCTACTACAGCTCGACTTGATACTCTCTACATTATGCTCCGAACTAGTAATTAATCAGCAGATAGAGTCTTTTCAAGCTCGTACAGATAATCACTCATGCCAGAAAAATGCTTTGTTATTTGGGGACTCATTCAGAACACAAAACACCTGCTGTAGGACTGCCACTTGTACAGAAGCCAAAAACTCATATTTCCTGTTTAATAAAATCAACAGGATGTGTTGAAGGATAACAATGCTCAAGCAAGCACAGTATTATCAATAAGCTGAAACACTAACAACTGTTTCCATAAGTCCCACTAGAGACTCTAGTCTGAAATGTCAATAGGACAACTGTATATTCAAATGAATTTGCTTAACTAATTCAAACCAAAGTAAACCATATAAACATATATTTCAAATTACCAAATGGAATAGAAGTGGGTCAGTACAACTCTTACCTTGCAGCTGTTTAAACCTGCCTTCCAAGATGTTTGAGTATTGCACCTGATTAACAAATGCTGCTGGGGACAAGCAGGGCTCTCTTTCCCTGTGGTCCAACTCCATTGCCGCTTTTCTCTCTCGTAAATATTCCGCTCAGATATGAAGTGAATTGGAGTTGTTGTCCATAGCACAGCGGAGCCACACTTTCCCACTAAAATGTATCAAATCCTTTATAGGGTTTTCCAAAAGAAAAAAAACGTGGCTTTTCCAGATTCCCTCAGCGTTGTGCCTCAGTTAGGCACAACACAAGCTTGAAAATATTGCCTACTGTATGTTCCACCTTGTCCAATGAAAGCACAGCAGTGAGTGCAGGGGTGGAGGGTTTTTTCAAAAAGCATTCAAACAAAACTGAAGAACAAAATGTTCTCTGGTTTCACCTCCTCCGATGAAGAATTTCACCACAGTTGTGGCCTCTGAGCAAAGTAAAATCTTTTGGTTGTACTCCCTCGTGGTTCGAGCATAAGAACAGTGGCAATTCCTTCCCTCCAAACTCTGAACTCACACTTGCTGAAACAGAGCACAGCAGAGCAGGCTAACTGGCTGCGGTCGGATAGCTGTGTAAACAAAGCCTGCTGTGCCTTCTGAAAATTGTGTCATTTGCATAAGGTGTGTTTGAGGGAGGAGCACAAAGGAAGAACATGGTGGAAGGATGAGGGGAGGGAGGAGGTGTAGAGGTGGACTAAACCATTAGAATTCTTTTCTCAGTGTAGCTTGAGGCAGATTATTAAACTCCACCTTAATTCCAGGGAGCAGCGGGGTGTGGCCTGCCAAGGTGTATCACGAAAGTCCCTGTCAGATTGTGACGACTTATCCTCTAGTCTCACTGTGTGGTGTCCTTTTATTCCTATCGCATGCTAAGACAATGTTTGATCTCCCCTCTACTGTTAGAGCAGCCTGCCTTATGATAAGATGTTTAAGACAGGAAGGAAGTTGTTGAGAAAGTCTCAGCAACACATGAAGCTCTTTCCTGTCTCAACAAGATTTGAAAGTGTGAACATGCGTGTCTGTTTGAGAAGAATTATGGACCTATACTACATCAAAACATTTTACATTTTACAACATTAGGGGCAAATATAGAAATGATGCCTGGCACCTCTTGTTGAGGAAATAATGTTTATTTTTAAATGTAGTAAGGATTTAGTTTAGATTTTTGCAAACACTGGAGTAAAATCATTATGTAGTTTGAATTATGCTTTGACTTCAAAACCTTAAAAAGAAGCATATAGAAACATGTCAGAAGTGTTTCATTAAAGTCAGAACAATCCCACAAACTGTACCTCACAAGGTTTTGCAACATAAACAGTGATTGATCAACACAGAGGGAAGTTGAAAAAATACAATAAAAGTATTATACAGTGGGAAGCTGTGATTTAGGCAGATATTTACTGAATGCCTGTGTGTGCAAAAATTTCACAACACTGTGAACACAGAGGACTAAGGTCAGCCTTTCCTGCAAGTGGACGGTCTGTCTGATCAGGGCCCCGTAGTTAAAAGGCCTGGTTGTGTGTTTGATCTCTGTATGTACTGATGAGCTAGGAGCATCTGGATGGGTCTCATTAGATGACCAAATGCCCCGGGCCTTCTGTGACTGGGTGTTTATAGAGGGGGACTGGACTAATGAGATCCAAAGAGAACAGGCTTCCCTCTGAGGAGCAGAGTCTACGCTGTGGTCACATGCAGAGGGAGATGAGGAGCAGAGAACGGGTAAACCCCAGTAGTGGTCATTTAAGATCCCAATGGGCATATACCAAACATTGCTATTCGATTTAACATGAGGCAGATGCGATGGCAGGTTTGTGTGTCTGGTATATGTATCTTAACATGTTATGTTAGGGCAGTGTCCTCCCTATGAAACCCATCAGTCATTTAGATATACAAATAAATAAACATACTGGGTAGGATTAACTGTGATTTAATGAAGCTTGTGAAATATGAAAACAAACCATGAGAAAGGTTGCCAAGGAGGGTTAGTTTGCATTGAGCAAACTGGAATTAATGATAATTTATGATGGTCTGACAAGAAAGAGGAAAAGATAGGAGCTACTGGAAGTCTAAGCACTGAGAGAAAGGCATGACTTTAACTGTTTGATAACTGTTTTAGGCAAGCCGTTTCTAAAGGCAAATTTGCGTAGTTTGCCTTGCTACCTCTACAGTACAGACAAGTAGATAAGTGGTTATCTAAGCAAATTACAATGATCTTAACACAGGGGAGGCTCTTTCTGTGCTGTATCAAGTGGAACACAACTGTCACACACAAAAAACTGTGTGTGTGTGTGTGTGTGTGTGTGTGTGTGTGTGTGTGTGTGTGTGTGTGAAAGGTGTGAAAGGTGTGAACCAAGAAAAGAGGAAATCATATTACAGGATGGCAGTCTCATTGAATGAGAACATGAGATAGAAGTGTAAGAGAGTAGCTGCTTGCAGAATGCAGAAGGTCTTGACATTTGGATATCACTTTAAAAAGATGGGCAGGAGCTGGGCCTGGGGGCAAATAGCTGCTACAACATGTCAAAGAATGTGAACGTCAAGCCTACACTGGTTAAACAGAGATGGTATCACAAGTATTCAAGCAGGAGGGTACACGCACACGTGCACACACACACAATCTACTCCTTAACAAAGCTTTACTGCCCTCTGCTGCTTTCTTTCATTACATGACAGCAAAATTAACATAATCTTTAAATTCACACAAATACAACCCAAAAAAACTAAATGTGTTTTCTGTTAGCATGAGGAAATGAGTCAGGCTGTATTTGTAAGTAAAATGACGTTCATCTTTACTTTGACTAACACCATGCTCAGAGATCTGCGTGTGTGTGTGTGTGTGTGTGTGTGTGTGTGTGTGTGTGTGTGTGTGTGTGTGTGTGTTTTGGTGTCTGTCAGCCTGTTGCTCCCCTCTGCTGGCTTCTTCATGATAATTCAACTTCTTAAGACTATTAATAGGGGGGGTTCATCTCTTCCTTACAAAACGAATCAATATGTGTCTAGACACAAGGGTCTAGATACGATTCAGGGAAGAACCGTTGAGACCTAGATATTTGTTGGAATTCAATTCAATCTGACATTCACTTGCCACTGTAAACTAGAAGAAAACAATTATATAAAATTGCTTACCTCCAAATCAATATTTCATAAAAGACAAAGGAATCTAGTATTTTTTGTTGCTGGAAGATGAAATCCATTTCAGAACTAAATCTGTCTGTAAGTCCCAAACAACAAATACAGTAAACAGGATTTTCACCTGGGTCATCTTAGTTGGTTTCTCCAACAAGACAGGCCAGCCAGACATGCACTTAAACGTCTATAGTTTGGAAGGGTATCAAGACTGTCAAGTGAAGGTGATTAAAGAAGGGAATAAAGCCGTATTCAGATAGACATTAGCATTATATCCCAAAAAATTATTTTCTCATTCATTTCAGTAAGACGCCAGCCTTGGTGAAACAGTGGTTCCAATGCAAGAGGCTCCAGCAAATGATCATGTAATGTTATTTTTTTCAATAATCTTTAAATGAGCAGATTGAAGAGAACAGACTAACATTGTTAAAATAACACTGTTTAATCGTCTGAGCTGTGTCCCATTGATGGAGGATTTTCACCACACCTAGCCCTGAGGTCTAGTCTTCCTTATTCTATCACTGCTTATTACTCTTTGGTGGCTTGACTTTACAGCTGCCTGGCTATGTCCTCCTTTTGGAGGTATTTCCGTCTTGCCCTATAAAAAAATGTGCCTTTGGGAAAGAATCAATTTAAGTTTGTTCCTTAGTCTACAGAACCTAATTAGATTTACGCATATTTCAGTTAGTCTGATTTTGTCTGTGAATGATAAAAAAGGCCAGTTCTTGCCTGACTTCTTTATTAAGATAACATGAGTTTGTTTGTCTGCCTATTTAGTTGATAGAGTACATTTAATGTTACCACCAATAACTACAGGTGTCGCCAAATCAACCAGGGAACTAGAATTAGACAGTTTACACACAGATGTTGCAACTGAGTGGTGTGAATACCATCTAGTTTTGCTAGTGTTAAATTATGCAACATTTCTAGCCTTTTTGCTGCTAGACTGATGACTTTCTACCTGTCCATTTATAGTGCCCCTCCTAGCATAGCTTTCCATAAGCACTAGCTGTCTGGATAGCCGGAAATTAAAACATTTCCATTTTATACTTTTACACATATTTGTCTATCATCAGCTCACACATGCAGTAGGAGCATGATAACTTAATGCAGCCACATACTGTGCTTTGGTGAGGCCTAATGTGTAGCATACCTGCGAGAGCCTTGATTCGCGAGCGCTCAAAGAGGCGTGCTGAACTGTTCTCATTATCCCAGTCTGTCTCTGCTGCCAGATCCCAGCGGTTGTTGATGTCATTATACTGCTGCTGGATCTCCAAGCTGTCAAAGTCTGTCGGTGAGATGGTGCTCATGGTGTCTGAGCTGGAGGAAAACACATTCAACCTACAATTCAAAAGAGACAGAAAAACGTCCAAAATCAGTGAAAACACACACGAGGAGACAGTGCTTAATACCAGAAGCTTCAAAAGACTGAGCCTTGAACTGTTTAAGAAACGATGTTTGAAAGGTTCAGTTTAAAAACCAAGAATCTATTTCTATTTCATCAGGGACATGAGGAGGCACAGTAACATACATCACCCACACCCTCCACACAGCTCTCAGCTTCACTTTTATATTCTCAAATGACAGTCATATGCAAATAGTAGCTTGGACAGCACAACTGCCAGAGTGTGTAATAAGATAAAAACTTTGAGATAAGTTCAGCAACTGCTATAAAGTCATTAGGTTAGCCAACCGGTAATTGAATATAACTGCTCCTCTAAGCCGGGGCAGCTCCAGTAATTTCATTGTGGCGTCAGTGTCAATGGCAGAAACAACCTCAATCTACACTGATTAGATCTTGACTTGCACACGTAGAAGGTACACCCCAACCACACACACACACGCACGCACGCACGCACGCACGCACGCACGCAAGCAAAACTGAAACACACATATAGCAGTACAAACAAAAAAGCTAGCAAAACCTCCCTCAGCATTACATCTGGGTGGTTCTGACTAAAAATTATTAAACTATGTACACACACACAGACACACACAGACACACACACACA